ACGTGACTGGCAAGGTACAGGGATATTTATTTTGTTCCTCGCATCCTTTCCCCTGACTTGAGCGCCTTAGATTATGCTGGCCTCATGGCGTGGAGCTCGATTGGAAGTGATACAAGTACTTCGCGAAGTACTTGATCATGTGCTGAAAGAACCAGGCGTCCCAGATAGTGTTATGTATAATCGTGCAAGAGTCGGTCGCCTTTCGTTTATGCTTATTATGTGTGCTGACACGCTCTTATTAGGGACTACTTCTCATCGGAGCTGTTTTCAAGTCGACTGTTCCGGATGAGTCCGATGCGGAGCGCAGAGAGCTAGAAAGGATGGTAGCCGAGGCTGCAGCACCCAAACCGAAGCATAAGGCTGCGAAATCCAAGCGGGAAGAGCTAGCTTAAAGCGAAAGAGTTTGCGGAAAAGCAGGCCAAGGAGAAACCTTCTTCGCCGTCGCCTGCCCCTGCTGCAGCTCCGGCACCTGAGCCTTCCGCTTCTGCGTGAGTATGATTATTGATTTTACGTCTTTGCTATGTTCTCTAGAATAGGGTTTTCTTATCTTTCATGCCTGGGCATCTTAATGGAATCTAGTTATCTTTAAACCTTTTGACTGGGAATATCCAACTATGCCCAGACAAGTCTCCCCTCGGCTTTCGTTGGCTTGGCTCGGCTGAGGTACGGTGACAAGGTGCATGTCACCTCTTGCGGACTGGCGAGCCGTCTTGCCGTCGCCGACCGACGGTTTACGTATCTTCTATGACACGGTTCAACGCGCCCTGCGCTCCCGACGAGGAGAAAAGAGCGCCCTCTTCATTGCATTCCCTGCCCCTCCTTTCCTGCTTTTGTCTGAGCAGACCTGCTCGTGGCATTCTAATGCGAGGCGTGTGTCACTTGCTTCCTAACACAAGTGCACTTCCGCATCCTACTTCATTCATAGTGCCTCCCGGTCACCTGCTGCTGCGGCTAGATATTGAGGACCTTGGGTGTTCAAATGAATGTTAGCATTCTGTGGCTTGCAAGACGTGCTTGAAGAATCGCAAGTCTTCGGTGCTCTCTATGCAGTATCTACCGGAAAATGTGGTGTCAGGATGTCATTATCACTGCCAGAGAAGGGAGTACGAGTCAAGATTTCTTTCTTTCGTCAAGGTCTTTAGGATTAGAATCACCAAGTCAATTGCATATGTTGGATGCGACATGCTCAGAACGGCGTGCTTCTGACATTCCAGATCATGTATTTTACTTTTAGTCGTGAGGACCCTCGCAGATTGCCCGAGAACTATCTCGGCGAGAGGAGTGAAGCAGCATTTTCTAGCCGATCTGATTATGTTGAACATCATGAACACGTCAATACTGGAACAGGCAGGCAATGTCCTCGAGTCTCCACGTCTTGTTCTCTGCTCATAATTTATACAGGATATGTGATCAGAGAGCTCGACGTGACCTTTCCGAAACAGCCATCGACCGTTACTCACGACGCGTCCTAATTTCAGCACAATATGAGAGATCATAGATGAAAGGATGCAGGAATTTGACGTGACAGGTGGTTTCCCATACATACGCGTTCCAAAATATACAGTCACTAATTTATCAAAGTAGTATAGCATTGAAGGAGTCAATTCACCGATGTCAAAAATCAATCCGTCAAAATGCACATACCTCATGGTGACTAATGTAGCCGTCTGAATGTCTTTCATTGATCAACTCCAGAAGCCTTGGTTCGGGCCTCGAATTCTGCTTTGACCTGCAGCGCGGTCACGTCAGTGAACATTTTCCAATAATAATGTCGTGCTCACAGCTTTGAGGAATGCTTTATCCTGCAACGCTCTCAGTCCTGTCAGAGCAAGACCTTTCGTTACGGTCATCGTAGCTTCATGGGCTGCCATAGTCGCCGCTGCTTTGGCAAATGCTGGTGTGTGATTGCCCCCTTTGGGTTCGGTCGGAATAGCTGAAGGAGAAATCAGCTGTTGATCGCAATAGAGAACATATCGTTACCATAGACTGGGTGAAGTGCGGGCAAGGCTAGTGAGAGTAAGAAGTCAATTCATGCCCGGCCTTTCAAACCGTAATTACTAACCGAATGACACATTTCCCTGAAATGAAGAAAAGGTGGTCAGCAGGGGGAATCAACGGAGAAATGCAAGCCTCACAAAGTCTGTTGAGGCTGATGATCCATCTCCGTCTGATACCATACCATAGTTCCTCCCGACCTTGTCGGCGAATTCTTTTCCTGTAACAATCAGATGACCGAGGTGAGCTTGACATTGATCATGGAAAGATTATCACTTGCCAAGAACACTATTCTGGAGGAGCTCATAGTATGGACTCGTGAAATTTATCTTAACTTTACACGCCGTTGCTAGGGCAGCATGCTCTGATCCGGAAGAGTTAGATGTTATCATTTGGTGAATTGAGGTGAAACGCTTACTCAAAACAAGCCTTGACACGCTCAGCGAATTCATCTACTTCCCCATGAGTGGGTGCGCGGACGACCCAGGTCATATGAGCGTAGTCAGGTATAACTGGGGAGGTTGTATTCAATGTCGACTACCCGCCTTAGACAGGTGATAGCATACCATTTGCAGACCAATTCTTTCCACCCAAGATGCCGTGAATACGATGGTCAGGCTTTATCTGTTGTCGAAGGACGGCGATACTCGAGTACGCCAAGAAGGCGGCGTCGAGGGCATTGGTTCCTTCCCTGGAAAGAGGGTCATGATATCTGGGGTCAGAATTTCGAGGACGGAGATGTTCTTACCATGGGGCAGCCCCCGCGTGCGCGCTAAGCAGTACAAGTCAGCTGCGATGATCCGAAACCAAGTTAACGCGCTGCTTACCTTTGCCCAAAATATTCCACTTCTGCCTCTTGCATCGCCGTCGTCGTGCCAAAATTAGCCGAGTTGGAAGGTCCGGGACCCGGATGACACCTACAAGGTCCTCAATGAGGCTTGATTTAGGAAGACGAGGCCTACTTACATGATGCATAGATCCATATCTTTATATGCACCGCGTTCCAGCAGGATGATCTTACCACCCACACGTTCTTCGGCTGTTCCGGAAATCAGAAACTACTATTGGTGTGAACTGGAATGCTGGATTGATTGCTTACCGGGCGTACCGAGAAGTATAATCTTTCCAGGGATATTCAGTGCTTCCAGGGTAGCCTTTACAGCGATAGCGACCCCACATCCGCTGATGGCGATAAGATTGTGGCCGCAAGCATGGCCGATACCGCTGAGGCCATCCATTTCTTGAGGATGTGAGAACCGTAAAGGTAAATATATTCATCTATATTCTTACCAGAGTTTATGCCGAGAGTGCTACCGCCTTTTCCGTGCGTAGTATTCGGCACGCCAGGCGGTATTCAGTCCCAGATAATGTCTGGTGACTTGAAAACCATGAGTCTCCATGTAGGCACAGAGAAGATCGTGGGCATATCTACAGGAGAAATTTGAGAACCGGTATAAGAGAGTCGGATTATTTACTGACCGTTCTTCGAAACCGAGTTCTGGGTGATCTAGATCATGTCCGTGTCAGCGGGCGACGGTAGACAGGTGGTGGTAACCATATAGATACTTGCCGTGAATTTTCAAGCTAAGCTGGCGAAGACTGGGACTGAGATTATCAAGAGTGGGGTTGACGATGTTGATGAACTGTTGACACGGGAAGGAATCAAGATGAGGACCTTGGGGCGGAGAATAAGTCGGAACAGGATCCGCATTATTCCACCAGGTTGGGGGTGCTCCATACGAGTAGTCGCAGGCAAGGTTCAGACAGCCCTGTTTACATCCATTACTTGTCTGCAAAAATAATTACAGCTCTGACACTTGCCTTTGAACATCCAGTCTCTAGCTTCGAGAGCTCAGGACTGGCAGGTTGGGGTTGAGATTTGTTCTTCCTGAAGATTTTAGGGGAAGCAGCCAGCCTGAATATCGAGCATGGTGGCGTGGAAGAACGGTAGCCGCAACGGCCCTGATAATGCATGCCACAGTTATATACAAACAGTACCGGCTATGCACGTAAATTGTAAAATTCGCTAAGCGATCGCTGACGTAGAGCTTCTGATCAAAAAGTGCCTCGATCAACTCCAGTCTCCCCTGCCGCGAAGTTCGGACCTGAAATAAGCAGTTTCGTCCTCCGCCAGCTTGATAGTTGAAGATCCGCCTCCGATCTATTCCAACAAGGCATGCTATCACCATGTTATCATCCGCAGTCTATCGCGAGTCAATCGATATGTTGTTTTCTCGAAATGGGCTGGATGCCTCCTCCTCGTCCCGAAACCCTCCATGGCCGTAGGCGACGGACCGGTGCTTCCATCATCGAGCCTGAAGCTTTTGCCACGGACACCGATGCTACATAGCAGCGGACTTGCTTGACAGGCCGGGCCCTTGCAGCTCGACAAGTTGACAATCCGGGGAATTGTGAAACCTGACGGAGGTCCTTGCCTCGCGCTCCAATAATATTGCATCATTCTCGGACAGCTTCGCACCTTGGATGTCCAGTGTTGAAGGGGAGCACTGTTCCAGATTGTTCCTAATACACAATTTTGGGTGGAATGACAGTTGAAAGGCATTATGTAGCCGTCGCAGGAAATTCGTGCTACATGCAGTTTAAAATTTCAATTGTCAAAATCTGAAAAGCCAAGGTCAATGGTCACCGGTCACCGTTCAACCGTCATACAGTACAATGCACGATAACATTGACCAAGGAGTACGGAAAGAAACGGAGCGAGCGGTCAAAGGAGTAGTGCCAGTTATCTGGGTTGTGTTAGTAGACTCTCTTATCGATACATTATCCTAAGACCCGAGTCGATGCCATTGAAGCAGATCTAGCTGTGCTGCGAATTTTTTCCAGCGACCAGAACCAATCTGGACCAAGACTCATCGTGGTTACTGATACTTCATATCAAGTGGCTAGTGTTTGCCTCTCGCGGCTTGAGTCTTGAGTCCTGAGTCCTGACAGTCGCTTGTGTAGTCAAAAGTTAAACCAAAAACTAAGGTAAGAAAAAGTACCACGGGCCTGACCGGGAATTGAACCCGGGACCTCCTCGAAAAGCTATACCAACGTACATAACCCTAACAAGGAATCATACTACTAGACCATCAGGCCGATGCACGTGGCTCAGAAGGCTCCCCTGAGCAGATTATCCAGCACTGCCAAGAATTTGAAACACACGACAGTACACAGCTCTTCGTCTCTTACGATCCGGGTCCTGGCGGGCCATGACATCCACTGTTCAGTCGGCGCAGGCCGATGTCTTGTCGCAGATTTTCCAAGGACTCAAGAACAAGAGCTATGAAGTACGGCTCGAGTCTTCTGTCAACTTGCGTCGATATGTGAATTCCTCCGTCAGTTCCGAAATTCTTGGTGGCTCATGCTTATTTCCAGGTCGCCACTACTGTTGCCGAGATGACGCCTGATACTGCTACGAAGCTGTGGGACGACAATATCAATCGCAGGCTTTTCGATCTTATGCATAGTCAGAGTACCACGGAAAACTTTGGTGGACTATTGGCTATAGGCGCGTCATTGGTCACAATCGTGCTTGCGACGCGAACTAACACAAGTATCTAGACCATCTCCTTGAAATAACCAGTGGAGAAACTATCGAGTCCAAGCGCAACTTATTCCGATTTTACAACTATGTCAAACACCTCCTTCCCCACTCAGACATCAACCTCATGTTGGTGGCGTCCAAGACCCTCGGACAGATAGCACATATCGGCGGTTCTGCCTTTGGGGATCGATTTATGGACTACGAGGTTCCTGCTGCAATTGAACTGATGCAGCCTGAGAAACAAGAATCTCCTCGATATGCTGGCGTCTTAATCCTGAAGGAACTCGCTCGAAACAGTCCCGGGCATTTCCATTCACACATAAGCCTTGTGTTTGAAAACATAGTTGTCGTTTTGCGAGATCAGCGCGTCATTGTCAGAGAGGGCGCGGCGGAACTACTGGCAGCTTGCTTAGAAATTGTCGTACAGCGGGAGCGTCAAAGTCGGAACACCTATCTGAACGGAATTCCTAACGGAGGCACAAGCAGGATTGAGGATGCCACAACCAGAGATTATACATGGCTCGCTACTTACGTACAGAGAGCTTCTTCTCCATGCTGGGATGGTGCGTCTACTTCTATTCTCCGTTGACGTTCCCGATGACGAGTGTCTTTCAGTTTATGAAGGAGACTTTCATGGATACGGCGGAGAAAATTCTCCGGTTCCGAACTCATCGAGACAGTCTCGTTCGCAAACAAGTTATTGCAATGATTCCATCTTTAGCCGCTTATGATACGCAAACCTTCAAGGATAATTACCTCCATAAATCCATGAGTCATCTCCTAACCCAGCTCGAAAAGCCCCATGAGAGACAATTTGGTACGCTCGGGCATGGGTTATCGATGTCCGGTCGTCTGACCATTTTACAGCTTTTATTGCTATCGGACACACAGCCACCGCCATAGGCAGCGATATCAAACCGTTTTTGGACTCGATTATGACGCATATCAAAGCTGGATTACAGAACAGAGGGTAAGTCATTGGCATAACCTTCTGGAGTTAAGGTTCTGAGCGCGAACTAGGAGGAAGAACACGACATCCGAGGAGCCTATATTCCAATGCATTGGCATGCTGGCTGTTGCAGTAGGGCCTCATTTGACCAAGTTGCTGCATGACCAACTCGACCTCATGTTTGCCGCCGGCCTTAGCGAGCCACTCTGCCAAGCGCTGGCAGCTATAGTACATTATATTTCCCCTCTTCTGAGCACCATACAGGGTCTGTGTTACATTTCTGTTATGCACATACCTGCTTATCCTTTTGCAGATAAACTATTGGACTTATTGTCAATGATTCTTAGTGGCCAGCCGTACAAGCCCTTGGGTGCCCCGTCGACACTGGCCAGAAATGAAGTTTCCACTGTCAACAGAGAGCTAAATGCCCAGGTGAGCTCAATGTCACCTTCCGCCAACAGTCGTTCACATACATTTAGGCTGCTGCCAACGACAAGAGCTCGGAGACAATCACACTGGCTCTCACAACACTCGGCTCTTTCGACTTCACAGGTAAGCTTTGCGCCATATGTTCCCCTCCCCGTGATCAAACCTCCTCCAGGGCACTTGTTGAATGAATTCGTTCGACAATGTGCGCTGCCGTATCTTGAGGACGATAACGCAGATGTACGGCGTGCTGCTGCTTTGACTTGCTGTCGTCTTTTCGTCCGGGACCCTATTTGTTACCAGTCTAGCAGCCATGCCATCGAAATTATTAGCGATGTTTTGGATAAATTGTTGACGGTAGGTATAGCTGACCCAGGTAAAATTTCTCTAGATATACATGGCTGGTGGTTCCTGATAATCCTCCAGACCCGTCAATCAGGCAGACTGTACTTTCTTCCCTCCACGAACGCTTTGACAAGCATCTAGCCCAGGCTGAAAACGTGCGGTCCTTGTTCATAGCCTTAAACGATGAAGAGTTTGAGAATCGTATAACTGCGGTCTCATTGATCGGACGACTCGCGAAGCATAATCCGGCTTATGTAGTTCCCTCGTTGCGTAAGGCACTTATTCAACTTCTGACCGAGCTGGAATATACGACTGTCATGTAAGTCGTTTCCATTACTTGATAGCTTTTTAGGATTGAACATTTCACTAGCCGGAATCGCGAGGAATGTACTCGGCTACTTTCGTTGCTGATTAGTGCTACTCAGCGTCTTATCAAACCCTACGCTATACCTATTCTAGTTGTCTTGTTGAAAAAAGCCAATGACTCCAACCCTGCGGCGGCATCCAACGTCTTGATGTGTTTGGGAGAGCTTGCGTGCGTTGCTGGAGAGGAGACAATGGACCATATTGGAGATATCATGGAAGTTTTGACGGAGAAACTGTCTGATCCGGCGCTCATCGAACGAGACTGCTGCTCTTCACACCCTCGGACAAGTCTGCTCTAGCACCGGGTATGTCATTGACCCGCTTGTCGACTATCCACAATTACTTCCGCTTCTGGGGAAGATCTTGAAGTCGGAAAGTTCGCAGGCTGTCCGCCGGGAAGTGGTGAAGGTGTTAGGTATCCTTGGAGCGGTTGATCCGTACAGACGGAAGGTACGGTACTTTCCTACTTCACCGTAATTATCTCACGATTGTATAACAGGAGCAGGGAAGTTCAGTTGAAGATGCATCTAGTGAAACGCTGATCACTGCGGTCAATCAAGTCCCCATAAACCAAACTCCGACTATGGTAACCGACGACTACTATCAAAATGTGGTCATCAACGCGCTGTTGGCTATTTTGAAAGACCAGTCCCTCGGTACACATCATCATACAGCAATCGAAGCCGTCATGTCAATCTTCAAGACTCAGGGCCTGAAATGTGCCTCATTCTTGCCGCAGGTATGCACAAGAATGAATGTTTACAATGTCCATAGCACTGACTTAATTCAGATCATTCCTGCGTTTGCGACAGTGACGAAGCACTCTGCTGCTCGCCTACAAGAATTCCACTTGCAGCAGCTGACAATTTTGGTTGGAATTATCAAGCAACATATACGCAACTATATGCAAATCATCTTCAACCTCATCAAGGATATATGGGAGAACGCTGCACTTCAGCTTCCAATCGTGTCCCTCATCGAAGCCTTGAGCAAGGCATTGAATGCTGAGTTCAAACCTTTCCTACCTTCTGTCCTCCCGCTGGTCCTGAAGGTGTTCGACGGAGAGCTGAATGATAAAAGGACGAATACACAGATGAAGATCTTCGACGCCTTCCAAACCTTTGGTGCCAATATCGAGGAGTACCTCCATCTCATTATCCCTCTGATTGTCAAGTCTTATGACCGCCTGGATGGCACGATGCCCCTTCGCAAGAAGGCCATTCAGACCATCGATGGATTATCAAAGCGTGTCAATTTCTCCGACCATGCCTCACGGATAATTCTCCCTTTAGTTCGTGTATTGGAGGGTTCCCAGAATGAATTACGGCTTGCGGTTATGGATACGCTGTGTTCACTTTGCATTCAACTAGGTTCAGACTTTGCTATCTTCGTACCCTACTATCAACAAGGTTGGTGTTCTATCTCTACAAGTGACAGAAAGCATCAATCCGTGTGTTTCTACCAGGCTCTCGTTCGAAATCGCATCCCTCACGTCAAGTATGAGAACCTGATTACCAAACTTCTCAATGGCGAACAGTTACCTCAAGAGCCTGGGGTACTAGAATTACTGTATGTCTTGCACTGCATTCCTCGGGTTTAACTTAGCACGCTCTATAGCTCAATCGAGAATGCCAAGTCGGCCGAATACTCTGTTCCTGCTGCCGAAGCTGCCAAACTCACAGTGAACCAACAACATTTGAAGACGGCGTGGGATACTTCTCAGACTAGCACGCGGGACGATTGGCTTAGATTGGATCCACCGCCTTACCGTTGAACTCATGAAGGAATCGCCTTCTCACGCTCTTCGTGCCTGTATGAGTCTCGTCGACATCCATACCCCTTTGGCCAAGGAATTGTTCAACCCAGCATTCTTGTCGTGCTGGGGGGAACTTTACGATCAATATCAGGTTTGTCATTTTTTTTTCATATAGATGTCTGGATTAATCCAGGCTCTCTTGCTAACAGGAGGATCTCGTGCGATCGGTCGAAGCAGCCTTGAGGTCCGGTACAGCGCCATCGGAATTGATACACCGTTTGCTTGGTCTCGCAGAAGTTTATGGAGCACGAAGAAAAACCTTTGCCTATAGAACACAAAATTCTAGGACAGTGCGCATTGAAGAATTTGGCTTACGCGAAGGCTCTTCACTACAAAGAACTCGAATTCTTTTCTGAAGCGTCTCCTGCCACCATCGAATCGCTCATCACGATCAATACCCGTCTTCAACAACATGACGCCGCTTGGGGAACACTGGTCATGGCTCACGAGCATTACGACGTTAGCAAACAAGAGGAATGGTACGAAAGATTAGGAAAATGGCAAGAGGCGTTAACTGTCTATGATCTGAAGGCAAAGCTGGATCCTTCTTCCCCTGATGTTCAAATTGGTCGAATGAAGTGTCTGCATGCACTGGGTGACTGGGATCAGTTGGCGTCCCAGGTCGATGAGATTTGGGCCAATGCCAGCGC